CATTATCGCAGATGCCGTACTTGGCCTTTGTCTCCTCTACAAGCTCAAACCAGCTCCTGATTAGAGCTGGATCCTCGCATAGAGCTCTCTGCCTATCGTATGCTCGATTGAAACGCGTCCTAAGACTGTCCGTACGCTTGACAAAGTTGCTTGGCCAGTCTCTGCCTACAGGAGAGCTACCACGCGCTAAGAGTAGCTTATCAGCCATATCACGTACAGCTGCGTACGTAGGCGAAAACCCACGTGTATCTAGATCCAGTATATGCTTTACTATTACCTCCTCCTCTTGCTTGGTAAGCTTCTTTGAGTTGGGCTGGCAATCGCATCTAGCAGGTTTGCCAGCGCGTCAGCAGTGGAGGGTAGCGCGAGAGACTTTAAACGTTACTGCAGCGCGCCTTTCAGTCTGAATTTAATTTGCATTAAGAGCTGAGATTGCAAGGTGTATATCAGTCTCACAAGAAGCGTGTTGGGCTATGTTTGGTGGAGCCATAGTCGATTTATAGTTGTAGGGTATAGAAATTTGGTGGGGTGGCTCACTCGCTTCGATGGCTCACTCGCTTAGTATTTACGTTACACCTTCCTTCTATGATACTTTTCTCATTTCCTTGAGCATTTGACAGAGAGCGAACCATTGCTAATCTACTGATACCTGACTCATCCTTACTACTAGCTCATCCTCTATAACTATCTTGCATCCATCTCTGATCTCTTCTTGTCCGCTGCTCGTGTTGATGCCCCAAAACCATGTTCCGGGCTTCAGGATCAACAAAACCAACAGCTGTACCAATGCCGCATCATTTGCCTTGTGACCCGCCACTGCCTTAGCAGACTCCACTACCATCTTGCACACTTGCTCAAACCCTGTTTCAATACGTCTGTCAACAGCGTTATCCCTGAATCGCTCGTATAGTTTTAGTGTGTATGCGCTGTGAAAATGCTGATTGAGGATTGGGGTCACTCGAAGCTCTGACCATGGCACAGTCTGCAGAACAGCGTTCTCAATGCCTCGCCCCATAATGACGTACTCATCGCAATTTCTTGCCCATCGCTGGTATTCCTCTGGAATGAGGCTTGACTTTTCACTTTTCTGGAGAAAGTCAAGCACGTCTGCGACTCGAAACACAGCGACGTTTGGTGTTTCGCTCAGTACCTGCAGATCAAAGATCACGAAGCTAACATGACCTGTTTCTCCTTGCTCGTGTTGCTCTCGCGACTTCTTCCCTGTTAGATGGAGGGTCCAGTTCAATCTTGAACTTGTTGAAGTGAACTTCGTTCTTAGCCGTCTTCCTGTCTTTGTCTGTCTCTGTGTCTTGCCCAAATGGTTTCCAAGAGAGAGCACAAAGTCGTTCACCGACTTCGCCTGCCGGTAGTGGTCGTCGAAGACCACATCTTGCGTCCGTGCGTTGTATGCCCCAGGCTGGTCCCTGGCTGTGTGCCGATGCGCGCGGAAAAGCAGAGTGCGCTTGATAGGAACCGGGTTAACCCTAACCTCCTCTAAGACTAGAAGGCTCTGGTCAGCATCTTTTGAGAGCTTCCATCAGGGACCATACACTCGGCCCAGTCAAGGTCGTTCTTAACCTGCTTGACTGCTGTTGCTGCGTCGTGTCTGCTGCCTTGCGCTTCTAGTCTCTTTGCGACTGTTTGACACGCCTGGGCGATTGTAGAGATCTTATCTGCTAGGACCTGGAAGTCCTCAAGTGTGCTTGGGCACAAGGCTGGAAACCCCTGCTGTACCTTCTCGACGCGATCTTGAACGAGCCGCGCTAAGTCAGGCGAACCTGGTAGCGGAGAGAACCTTAGTTGTGTCATGGCTTGTGGCGGTTGTTGTTTAACAAGTACATATGGCGCATAGTAGTAGGTCAGGCACGAGGCTGAGTATGCGCCTTACCCCGCAACGTGAACTAGGTGCCACAATTGGCTAGCAGAGTGTTGCCAACCCTGTCAGCCACATGCAAGCTCGAACAAATTCTGCTTATGCCTCTTGACCTTAAAGACATGCAGTACCAAATCTACGCATGCTTGCCCTATCAGCAGTGTATCTGTTATGAGACATCCCTCATGCGTCTTGTGCTTTTTAAAGTGCTTTTCGTCTCTACTACCTATCTATGTTAAGCTGCTTACGCTGACTCGCAAGAGCGCAGTTCTGTAAATCAGCACCCATCATCTGCAGTTCTGTACTTGCCCCTCCTCCCAAGCATACAGCAAACAGCACATGTAGCTTACGTCCTTCTCGCTCATCTTTGTTTTCAGCCCAAGCCATTTGCGAAGCTGCTCGTCGTAGCTTCCCTGCACAATTGCTCCTTCTTGCATCTGCTGCTCCAGCCACGGCCTACACGCCGACTCTCGCAAAGCAAGCAGCGCAGCTGCTGCCCGCTGCAACACGTCTACGTACTGGCACAGTGCGTTCCTCCTCCTCGCAAACGCGCCTGGCGTATCTGTCTCTTCCCATCTGTTGCAAAGTGCCTGTGGCGCCCAACAGTAGTTACAGCGAGCGTAACTTTCCCATTTAACCCAGCGCATCCACCTGATCTTCTCCTGTACAGCGTTGATTTGCGCTTCGCTGGCGTTTTGGCAGTGCTCTCACCTGTGATCTGCTGACTTGGCGTGGGCGGCCATGCAGATGACATATGCCTTGCTCCAGCGATCAAGATGCTGCCTGAGTCGCTCCAGCTGGTAGCCTGCCTGCTCTGTCTTCCGTCGCAGCTGGATCTCGATCTTTCGCTCCTCGAGTGCTGCAAGCCCCTCGAGTTCCTTGCGCCGCGCTTTTACGGCCGCAGCAGCGGTCGTTGACACCTGGCCTTCTGCGTCTTGGGGCCTCTACGTTATATCCTATTGTACAATTTGACTAAGGTTCTTGTAAGGACTCTATAAGGATTTTTGTCAAGATCTCTAGTTATAATAGTAAAGGCTCAGCGTTTGCTGGTGCAATAGGCACTAGACTTCTTTCATACTCCCTAAACAGCACTCTTCGCTCTGAACCTTATTATATGTCAGCAGTAACAGTGTTGTTAGCTTGCAATTATCACAATTTTTAATAACTACTTTTGCTCATTACTAGTCAGCAAGATAGTATGTTAATTACATCAGGCATTCTTTAGGCTCTTGTGACGGTAGGAGCCTAGACTAGTTGACTGTACTGTACTCATCAAACGTGACTTCTTTGCTAAACTAGCAACAATTGTTAGATTCGCAAACAGAATGACGTTGTGGCCGATGATTTTGAGTGGTAAGCGGTGCCCATAACGTAGCCCCTCATTCTTATGGCGTTGTGGCTCAAGTGTGACCGAGAGGTGATGGATCGTCGAACTGAGCGTTTTGGTGGCATCCACGGGGTCTTGGGACAATATATGCGATTGCCTGGTTTTAGAGAATCAGAGTTGAATCGTGCGTGCATCTTATACTGGCAGGCACTATCATTTATCTGCTAAGAAATAGGTCTTCCACCTACACAAAGGTTGATGATCTGTACATGCTTTCATTATCCTCTCTCAGCAATTTTGCAGCTCCTTTAGCTTCTCAGCCATCTCTTGAAGCAACTTTCTTTTCTTCTCTTCCTTCCGCTTCTGGCCAGCATTTTCCATCTTGTCGCCGACCCTCTTCAATTTCGCTCCGCCTCCTCTGAGCAGCTCATGGAAGTTCCTTTCATGGTTTCTTCGGCTCGACGGTGATGCGAAGTCGCGTGCCTGCCCAAAATCTGCTGGACATGCCCGGCACTCATATCTGGCCTTTGCGTTTGTCGAAGCTTTCACTCCCTGTCTCGCAAAATAGCCAGCGGCGTAGCGTCTTTCTCCGTTGCTTCCATCAGACGAAGGAATCTGCATGAGCCCGTCTGGCACGTCAAAGAGGCTCCCAAATACCGTGTCTGTTCTGTTACTAGGGTCAGGGCCTGAACAGGTTGCAGCATGCTGTACATACGTCTTGCTCGGTCCTGAAGGATCACTAAAACTCATGTAATCCATGCCTTCATCGAGAAGTAATTCATCCCAACAGGCCTTGGCGTTATGCGCGGAATTGTATGGTGCAGCATGGAACGGGTCATTGAGGGGCAGATCTTGGTGTAGGAAAGTAGAGTCGAACTGTCCCTCAAGCCCTTGAGCATCGGCGCTGTCTAGGAACGCGTGATTTCCATAGGACCCGGTTGTGGGTGTCAAACATGATCCGTATGAAGCATCAAATGCGTCTCCAAGATCACCGGCTGCTTCAGAACGACATGCCTCTTCTTCAATGCTATGTTGAAGCGTATTTCTACAAAAAAGATTAGAAGTCAACCGACTAGCAAATACACACGAATGAATAAGGTCTCGCAGACTCAATAGTCTGGCAGGGGGGAATCTGAGACTGTCACCCAACTAATATGGGTGCAGCGGACAGGTGGAGATTCTGCACTAGCAGAGGCCAATATGCGCAAGACGTGATAATAATAAACCCTAGAAGAACTTTATGTCTGTCCATGTATTGACCTATATTCCCTCTTCCCTGACTTTGCGCTGGCCTTCTGTCCCGTTTTAAGTGACGGTGTATTGCAATCTGTTCTTCTAGGCGGGACTTCACAGGTTACGACCTGCCTCCAATATCGGCTGACCCAGGGGGGGCTTTAAGCGTTGTCTTCGTCGTCGCTTCGATACGAACCCCAGGTCTAGCCTATTAGCATGTGAAGTCGGGTAAGAGCGCTTACAGAGACTCCTGTGTGGTTTGGTTCCCAAAGAGCGGTGTTGAACACAGAAGGTCGTAATCGGAGTTATTGCAGTCAAAACCGTTCATAGGCATGGTCCAAGACATAGATGCGGGAGGCACCAGAGAGTATTCAGAGAGCTGGCGTGCGAAGCAAAACTCAGATTTGGTGCTCTCTCAAAGGATGGACTGAGCATTAAGTATTCGATCAGGATGAAGGGAAAATGTGCAAAGTGCAATGTTCGCAGCAGAGACGATATGAAGGTGCAAGGCGTAAAAGTGCAAAGTGCAAGGCGTCAAAGTGAGAGGTGCAAGCTATGACGCGGGGCAAGGACGCGTCTTACGCGTTGCTTGTGGAATTGTTCTTGTAAAGGTTTAGCGCATCTCGTGACTGCGCGTTGAATCTTAGCGTGTTGCGCTCCCGTTCCGCAGATGGCCTGAGCGACAGACGCTACCCCAAAAGAAGTTTAGATCCGGCATGGGGAGGAATTCTAGAACGCAATACCTGAGTAGGTAGGTCTTTCATGGAACAGGTAATCACATTCTTCTCTAGTGTACAGGGACCGTGCACATCGTGCACGGATTCACATCGTGCACGCGAACTCCATAACGTGCCAATTTCCTCAACACCATAACTTCACAACGGCATGGATTTAGAAGCTGCGCTTGAAGCCTGTGACAGAGCAGATGCAGCTGGTGAACTTTCTTATACCAAAATTGCTGACCAAAGCTTAGTGTCGCGATCTACGCTGTCGCGGCAGCACCAACGCGTATGCGCGTTGCGTGAAGAAGGCAACTCCACACGTCAAAAGCTTAACCCACAACAAGAGTATGAGCTTGTTAGTTATATAAATAAGCTTACAGAGCAAGGGCTACCACCTACAAGGTAAATGGTGCAAAACTTTGCGTTAGAAATGGCCCAACAGTACGTTGGAGATAGCTGGGTTACCAGGTTCCTGCACCGTCACCCCAATGAGCTCCTATACAAATGGACCTCCGCCATGGACGCCTCACGTCACAACGCCGACGATAGCGAAAAGTACTCATACTATTTTAACCTACTACGTTCCAAGATTGACCAATACTCTATCAAGCCACGGCACACGTACAATATGGATGAGAAGGGCCTAGCGATTGGATTGGTGAATAGGAGCAAAAGGGTGTTTAGTAAGGCAGCTTGGGAAGCCGGAGGCAAACGCCAAAGCTTGCAGGATGGCAATAGAGAGTGGGTAACAATTCTCGCAGCTATCTGCGCTGACGGTTCAACGTTGCCGCCAGCCATCATATATGCAGGCCAGCCAAACAGTCTACAATCCTCCTGGATGGAGGACCTGGACGCAGGCAAAGACTCTATATACTCTACTGCAACGCCCTCTGGCTGGTCCAACGACGAGGTTGGTCTTGCCTGGCTTGAACAGGTGTTTGAGCGGGAAACTGCGAGTAAAACTCGCGGTAGTTGGCGCCTACTCATACTTGACGGCCACAGCTCTCACATAACAATGGCTTTTATCAACTTTTGTAGTTGCCACAAGATTCTACTACTTATCTATCCACCTCACAGTACCCAGACGTTGCAGCCGCTTGATGTGGGTTGCTTCTCACCTTTTGGCAACAACTACTCTAAAGAAGTCACTGAACAACTTCACCAGAGCTAGGCCTTGACTAGCATTAAAAAGCATCATTTCTACAAGCTTTTCTAAGCCTCCTGGTACAAAATGTTTAACAGCAAGCTTGTGCTGGCCGCGTTCAAAGCCACAGGCATCTTACTACTAAACCTAGCTATTATACTTGACAGGTTTCAGAACAAGCTAAGCGAGCTTCCGCGAACTCCATCTCCATTACTCAACGTCAATAGGGTCGCGATAGAACAGTTTTGCAAGGCAATAGTGAAGGACTCTACAAGTTATGAGACAAGGAAGCTAGTTCGCACGTTCAACTACTTAGCAGCTCGCAACGCCCTTCTGGAGGTAGAAACGAAGGCCTCCGCAACCAAATTGACACCCAGAAGACCTCTCAGAGGTACCACCAAGCCCTACTGTTACAGGCCTCCAAGTCCTATACTTCCAACGCGATGTTGTGGTCTCCAACAAAGGTGGATAAAGCCCAAGCTCAACTGCGTCAAAATACCCGCCAACAGGCTGAGGAAGCTGCTGCAAAGGCTCGCAAAAAGGCAGAGGCAGCTGAGAAGAAGGTTCAAGATGAGCGGGAGAAGGAGCAGCGGAAGGTGGAACGAGCGAGGGCAAAGGAAGAGAAAGCCCTCAGGAAGGCCGCTGAGAAGGCCGAGAAACAACAAAAAAAACAAGAGAGCGACGCTGCCAAATCTATCCAACTATCCCAAACAGGCAAGCGCAAGGCCTCACAGAAGCCACCTACAGAACCTCCAGCCAAAAAACAGCGTGCGCGTGGCGCTACTCAGGTTGTAGTTGAGGCGTCACCTTCCCCGACACCTCCACCAATTACTACACGCAGCGGCCGCACCACGCGACTAAATAGAAAATAGGAGCAGGACAAGCATCATAGGCGTTAGTAGACTGTTACAACAAAAAAATCTTAATATAATAGCTTTTGTGTGTGGCTCTATAGTCTTATTTTTGTGGTTGCCAAAGGTGGTTTTCGCGTGCACGATGTGAATCCGTGCACGATGTGCACGGTCCCTGTAGTAAGCTTCTTTGAGTTGGGCTGGCAATGGCTGCGGGCATGATTCCTAGCGCGTCGGCGTCGGAGCATTGCTTCAGCTACGCTGTAGACTGCTATAGCATGACAATTGTCTTGGAGTTATCTAGCATTAATAGATGGGATAGCAAGCTGAATATCTGCTTTAGTTGAAGACAATTGAGTAGTAGTACGTGGAGCCATTGTACGTTGAGATGTGAAAGGTGAGCAAACTTAGTGGGGTGCGTTACTCTCTTAAGTTATAACGTAATCGGCCATTGAGTCAGCCAGGCAATTGAGCCGGCCACCTTTGCCAAGATCACACCTCATTCCACCTCTCATCTAATGTCTTAACAACCTGATCTTAGATTACTTCCTTATAAGGATAGGATAATCCTTGCTATCTAAGCTATAAAATCTAACGCGTTAATAAGCTAATAGCGCGCTGCTGCTATCTATAATGTTCCTTAATCAACCCTCTAAGACTAACGCGCCAAAACCACCTCACAACGCAATTCCTACCACAGCAGATCAAGGCTTACTAATGTAAAGAAAGTAGGGGAAGGACTAGACTAGGCTGGCGGAATGGGTATACTCCAACGTCCTTCGTGGGTACCCCCCAAAACTTTGTCAATAATACATGGATTCTAGCGAAATAGGGCTTAAAA